AGCTCATACTTGGTCATTTTGTGAGTTATAGATTCTATCAATGTCGAACAGTTTCTTATCCGAGAATAGAATATTCGTCGTGTCCTGTTTCCGTGCTCGTACCTAATCTGATTTTTTTGTTTGCAGTTTGTGTTCATCGATTAGCAATGGTTCGACCACTTTCTTGGTCGGTCGAAGATGAAGATCGTCTATTTAGCATCCGACGAATACTAGTTCGAGAAATATCTGGCCCATTGGCGAGTTTTAGAGTTAAGACTTTTCTTTTCCGATTGAAACGAGTCTTCACTTTTTGAATTGACTTTTTTGTTCGAATAATCCATAATTGGTCAGGGGACGTAGACAGTTGGAGATTGCCTGTTCCACCGTGGATCATCTTGTACTATCGTTTGATTGTTCGAAGGCTGACAGTACCATTTAAATGTTGGAATACTTCTAATGAACTTAGGTCTTTCTCCTATTTTGAAAGTACGAGTTTTTTCAAATGTCTGCTGTTTATTATCGAGAAAAAGATTTAAACGAACATATAATCTAGTATATACTCACTTTGCAGAGCGTCAGATGAAGAATATTCTGGTAAAACATCGCATTCATCACGATGAAGAACGAATGAGATATCATCGAAATGCAGAGCGTCATTCTTTATGGCCCAGCCGTTATTAGCAAGAGACTATGCTAGTAGGTTTACAATAGAGCCTAACAGCAGCTATTGATTGACTAGTAAATCAACTTGGGAAGATCTACTGGAGCGCAGTATTAATAAATATTTTACAAGATGTTATGAGAAAACAGACAGAAAATGATTATTCTTAAAATGAAGATATCAAGATGGAATACGTTTCTCTCATCCATAGATAAGGCTCATCAACAATCAAACTCAATTTTCTGGTCCTTTTTATCTCGAATCTATCGCCCCAAAACTCTTCCCCTTTCAAAATTACTGGTAAACAACGAAATTATTGCAGATAATTATGAAATTGTAAAAAATCTGTTTAATTATTATAAACAGCAATTTCTCCCACCGGTCTCAGGGACCTTCAATGAGACGTTTGAGCAAATAAAAACCCAAATGGAAAACTGCATAGAGCCAATATGTTTAACAACAGTAGCAGAAATAATCAAGTATATAAAAGGTTTGAAAAGCAAAAAATCATCGGGATTTGACCCTATATCTAATTTTATGCTAAAGCTTTTACCAATAACGTATGTTGAATGTATTGTGGGTTGTTTTAATGACTAGCTCAAGGGGTCGGAGTTCATTGAACCATGGAAAGTAGCTAAATTTGTCGTTTTAAATAAACTGAAATCCGGGATTCCCCAAGGCGATGAAACCAGGCCAATCTCCTTGTTGTCTACCCATCCAAAGCTATACGAGAAAATTCTTCTTCAAAGAATTAAAGAATGGTCAGACAGCAATTCGATCCTTTCGCCTGAACAATCCGGCTTTCGCCCTGAATGTCTATTACCAACTAGAGTATTATCTATGTATTAAATCATCGACAATAATCTACGTGGAAATGTGCCATCGCTAGTCATATATGTGGACTACAAAAAAACTTATGACAAAGTTGTTCACGAAATTTTTATTATCAAGTTATTTAAGTTAGGAATGCCGCTAAACCTGTTAAAGGCAGTCTGGAACTGGTTACGAGGCAGACAAGCCAAAATTATTTTTGGGAAATGCAGCTCAAATGCTTTTGTGATCGGACTAGGTTTACCCCAAGGCAGTTCGCTGTCACCGATCTTGTTCATTATTTTTCACTGTGACCTACCTAATAAGTTGGGCGCGCACCCAAGCGAGATTTTTGCAGACGACCTGCAAGTAACAGTAATTCCACCAATTAGACCAAAGTTAAGTCAAATGTTAAAGTATCTAGAGGGGGAGGGGCAGAGAGTGTGCAACAGAATTCTTCAACATTCGATTGACCATGAACAACCGATTAATTATAGTAAAACTGTTTTCCAAATATTTCATGCTCAGATTAAGAGACCCACTATCTCGCTGTCAATGGCGGGCTATAAGTTAGAGCAAGTATTTAAGTACCTAGGGTTCAGTTGGTCAGATAAGCTGTCTCTAAAACCTACTTTAAACGACGCAGTAGAAAAAATTCAAAAATCTTTTGTTAAGTTAAGGTGGGTATCAAAAGGTAAACAAGGTTCAAATAAGTTAAGGCGGCAGAGATTTTTGCGTATTCATTTCCGTTTTTTTCGTGGCTCTGCCCAATTTACACCCTTTTACCGTGCTGATATCATGGCTCGCCTTTGTTCACGATAAAGAGAAGAAGTAATAGACAGAAGTTATCCTGATTCCCGTTTTTTGTTTTTATTCACTTGGTCTTAATTTATCCTTTTCGATCCAATGTAGTTTAATGCATATGGTTTCGCTAATATATAGACTCTATTGTGATAACTCTTAATTTAGTGTTAATCAATATCTTGATACCCTTCCCGAAATGTAACATTTTTCTTATATATTAGTTTTTCCTTTTTTTTTTATAACTGTGTTTATCAGTCTATTGTGCACCAACCCTTTTTGTAACAGCCCAAGGGCTTAACAATATATGGAAAGTCACAAAAAAAAATCAAGAATGTGTTAAAATAAAGTGGTTTAGAGTGATGAGATATAAGTTTAGATAAACTCAAATCTCACCCACCAAACAACTCTGCATATTTCTGCAACAACTGCAATGTATTTTCTCGTGAATTCTGTCCACGAACAAGTATAGAGTTCTGGTTCTAACAGCTGAGAAAAATATGGGTTGTTTACAAGGGAAAAAGATCGAAGTTTATATTTTGTACTTTTTTGAGTGTTTTTCACTTCTCTGCAGAAAATTCGAACTTTGAACTTTGTCGTAAGAAGAATTAGACTTAGGCATGGGCGAGTCCGGACTGGAAGATTTTTTGGCGAACTCGGACTCGGACTGGAGATTTTTTTAAAGGACTCGGACTTGGACTTGCGTTTTTGTATTTCGAATCCGATCGATTCAAGTTTTGACATAAATGAACACTAAATTTTTCTTTGGTTTTATTGTTCTGAGTTCGATGCAGTTCAAGGACGGTCTACACCTTTGCATTCAGCATCAATGTGTGAGATATAGATTATAATAGATTAGAAATATTGCTCTCTCTCTGATAAATTTTAACTACTGCAGCAGCTTATGTTAATTGCATAATAACAGTCCGAATGGGAACACAGAGAAATTAAACATCCGACTTTATGTCTGACATGTAAAGTTGTTATATAAGCAAAAAGTGGAGATTAAAATACTTATTACCAGATAAGACTGTTAAAAAGAAAGAAAGAAAATATCTTACACGTATGTGAGTATCTAGAGAAGAGAGATATAGACATATAGTGATGAACCATACAGCCGAACCCTATAAAAAACAAAGAAAGAAAATCATCCCTATATAATATGTTTATATCTCTCTTCTCTAGATACACACATACATGCGAGATATTTTACTTATTTTAATCTCTACTTTTCGGCAAAGTCGTAAATTTAATTTCTAACACTTCGATCTTAGCTTCGATTTTTGCCCTTCGACAGATTCAATGTTACTCATTTAATATTACTATTCCATAATTTCGATGGCAAGTTATTCTGTTGTTTCGCGAGCAGATTCATCTTCTACTACTGACAGGGCTGAGACAAAAGTTTTGAAACAATTTTTCGAAAATTTGGTTACAAATTCAAAGAATAACTGGTCAGCATGTTGTCAATTATATAAACAAACGATTTCCGATAAAATTCAAACAACATCTAATTTCAACAGGCATTTAAGACGAGCACATGCTAGTGAATATACTCAATGGCTAAACAGCAAATATGCGAAACCCAGTCAACCAAACATAGATGATATTTTTACGACGAAAATCAAATATGATGATAGACATGAACGTCAAAAAGCCATCAGTAATTCAATAATACAAGATTTAATTGGGGATATGCGTATGCCCTTAAATATTGTAGAACGAACTGGTTTTAAGAATTTCATGAATAAACTTGATCCTAAATATTCTATCATTAGTCATCGAATAATAACTCGTGATAGAATTCCAAAAATGTATGATGCAATGCTAAAAAAGTTAAAAGTCATATGCAATAATGTCTCTATAACGTTGGATTTGTGGTCTGATAGACGTTTAAGATCGTATATGGGCGTCACATTGCACACAATTATTGATAAACAAAATAAATCTTATTTGTTATCGTTTCTTCCACTTGCTGGTCGTCATACAGGTGAAAATTTAATTAGTGAGTTTGAAAAAATTCTTCAGTTTTATTCTATCCAGAAAACGTTGGTCAGATTAGTCACAGATAACGCATCTAATATGATAAAAGCATTCGATAAGCTGATACTACCAGGTTTTGAAGAATATTTCAAAGAAGAAAATGAAGAAGTTGAATCTAATCGAAAGTGTGAGTATTCACGTGTTATTTGATCATTATTTCTTAACGATTTTTCTCGTATTACAAACTTGAGTAATTTTTGTACATTCTAGCGAGTGATGAATGCGAGTATGATGATAGCGCTACCTCGAATACAGCTGGTTCGGATAAAATAAATGATGATTTAAACGAAGTGATAGATGAAGCATTAATGACGATTGATTTTAAGCGAATACCATGTTTCGCTCATACTCTACAACTTGTTGTTGACGATGGCATCAAAAATTCAGCTGCAGTCAAATCGTCATTAACAAAAATAGCCAAAATTGCTAAATTTTCACATACCCGTACAGTTTTTGCTGAACGTCTTGAGATATTAAAAGCTACAATACCATCAAATACAAATATTCGATGGAATAGTCAATTTCATACAATAACAAAAGTTGTTCAAATCGATATCGATAAATTGAATATTATTTTATATGAATTAAATAAATCTCAATTAATGTTAACACAACGAAATAAAATAATAATCGATGAATTTATTTCGTTATTCTATTTATTCAATGAAGCAACCATACAAACACAGGCTGAAAATTCTCCAACGATAAGTCTTGTTGGTCCTTGTCTATTAAGTATATTAAATGATTTGGAACATGAACAAGGAAAACTAATCTACAACTAGGATGATCTGACTAATCTTTTCAATGTTTGCCAGAATTTGTCGTTAACAAATTGGTTATAGTAATCGTATAAGGACATCTTGATTTAAACCAATTTTATTTAAAAGTATAGCGAATGGCAAAGAGTACAATGTACTCACTTCAGTACTGTTACAGTATCAATTAAGTAGACAATATAAGTATGCTACGTGGAGAAAGAGAAGGACGTGACAATAAGAAAATCAAAGAAAGGCAAACAACTTCTGATAATAGAGCACTAGCAAATAAGGAGATATCTCTTTTCACATACGATATCTCGTGTGCCAACATTTTTTTGTCTCAGCGCGTCGATTGAAACGAAAGAGAACAGAAAGATATGCATGTGCGAAAAGAGATATCTCCTTATTTGCTAGTGCTCTATCCTAAGAGAGAAAGTATAAAAACAAAAATAAGATAAAGAAGTGATGAAGAACCGTAATGGACACGTCAAAAATAGAAGAAGTGCTGAGGTGTGGGTAATTAAATAAGAAGAAAATTGTCAGGCATGTTTCATAAAGCGTTCAGTATTCATAATATAGGTTATCATCAATTTGTATATTTCTACTAAATCAACCTGTTGAATAGCATTATCTTTGAGTAGTAGTACCCATGAGGTTTTTTTTATCGATTAAGAACCAGTTAATCGGTAGTGAAAACGATCAGTCGGCGATTTCGGTAATCAAATCGCGATTATGGGAAATGATCGTTTAGTCGGACCGTCACGGCTCACGGCGACTGGGAAAAGAATCGCGGTTTCATAGTGTAAAATCGCGACTGAAAAGCAGTTGCGATCAATCGATAATCTAGACTAGGACTTCAATCGCGTTTTTGTACGCTAACATCGCGACTTCGCTCTTATTCACAATGGCTCGATAACAAAATCTTTCTTTGATTAATCGTGTTTGCAAGAAGAGTCATAACTGCACACTAGAAGAACGCGACTCATTTTTAGCTAAGATTGATCGATAAAGTTTCATATCATCGGTCAGTCGCAATTACTAAAGTACTTGCGATTTACTATTACAAAATCCAAATCAAATGTGAATCTCGATTGATCGATACTCTTCGTCGTCTCCGATCAATCACAATACCCTCCTGTTACTCTTCCCTTATAAGAGTAACAGTTTTATATAAATGCCCTAAAAAAGCCTTCACAGGTTATGTTTCAGTGCAATGACGAGAAGATTTATGTTTATCTAGGAACATTATACAGGTTTTTGCCTTTGGCCAAGTACTTTCGAAACAGACGAAATCCTGTTGTGTTTTCGCTGAAAAAAGACTTTTCGGTGAAAGTACTTGGCCAAAGGCAAAAACCTGTTTTTCTAATGGCCCACATCAAGTACATGCGAGATATATCTCATCCAATTTTCTGGAATCTCGTAGAATGGTGCAGCATGTACTCAAACTTTGAAAAACGAGGAAAATTGCCTTTAAGAGCTGTTTTCTTCTAATCACAATGCGAACCTCTTCATCGGATAGAACTTGAAAAGACGCATTGAATGCATATTTTGTTGTGTGGTGTTGATATGATTTTATGGGGAAAAAATGGTTTACAAAAAAGGCCTACTTCTTGGAAAAAACGACCCTTTCAAACATTTTCCTGAGAACGTACTTAACATTTTGGAACGTTGTATCCGCTAGTGATTTTGTAACTCTACACATATAAAAGCTAATCTGACGGTACCACCTCATGAAAGTGTTTCACTGAAAAATGGTGAAAATGTCTACAAAAGGACTATTCTGCTGGGAAATGGGATTTCCACAGGTATAGAAGACCACCATGCCTTTGTTTTAACCATTTGACACCCAGTGGGAAGCATACTTCCCACCTCGAGAATTTTCAAATCTTCGAGTTTTTGCGAATCTTAGAGAAATATTTTCAGTAAATGTTAGAAGGTAGCAGAGGTCCGTACAAGATTGCACGGATAATAGGGTATATGGAGGACGTTGAAAAATGCACCATGCCAAGTTTCTTTAGTCTAAAAAAGTTTTAACCGCCGTTTTGAACTGCTGGGTCATTCTATCAAAAACGTTTTTTAAAGAACTCAAGCAACTTTAGAAAAATCTACTATATGCTGTCTTGCAGAGAAATGTTTGCTCTACAAAACTGCTGATTTCAGAAAATTTCACATTTCGCTGTTGCGAAAATACAAACCATTTTTGGAAAAACACGAAAAAAACTGTTA